CAGCCATGGAAGCAAGCGCGAGTTCGAGCAAGAACACAGCGGAAGTTTTCAAGGAACTGGAAACTTTGAAGGAAGCGGCGACAGCCTTAAGGAACGCTTCTGAAGAAAGGAACGTGATCGCGGAGTCGATCAGGAAGAACACAGAGGAAGCGGCGCGTTTGCGCAAAAGCCAGGAACACGTGGCTGGTTGTGTGGAGTCCTTGACAGGACAAATCTACGACGTCAAGCACCAGGTTCAGGAAATGGCCGAACAGAACGACAGAGACCGGCAACAGGTAAAGGAACACATGGCCTTCGTCCTAGGTACATGTGATGCCGTAAAGGAACAGCTGAACCAGATGATGCAGGACTTCTACGAGCAGCAGCAAGAGGAACAAGAAGAAGAGGAAGAAGACGAAGAGGAACAAAGGAAAAGAGAAGCCAAGGACCGAGAACTAGAAGGTGAACTACGTCGTGAAGGACACGGACAAGGAACAGCACCGTCGAGAGCTACGTCACCTACGTCCCAGGAAAGGAAAGAATATTCGGACCGAGGCTACTTCGAGGGCATCCAGGAACGAGAGCAGGACAACGAGAACGAGAACGAGACCTACGTCCACAGCTACGTTGGAGGAGAAGATCCCGGGGAGTACCCCGATGAAGGCAGAGCAGAGAAAGGAGAAGGAACAGCAGCAGCAGAGGAAGAAGAAAGTGAGGAAGCAAAGGAGGAGAGAAGAAAGAAGAAGATCGCGGAGATCAACGCCAAAAGCAAGCAAAGGCTCAAGGAAAAGGAAGAGGAGAAGAAGCTCTTTCCGTACCCCTACGACTACGCCAGCGAGTGGAAGGAATACTCCGAGAACGGCGAGATCTACAGACAACACAGGGTTACAGGAGAAAAGCAGTGGGTCGACAAGGACTACACGTACAAGCACGAGAAAGGAACGAAAGGAAAGAAGGAAGGAAAAGGAAAAGGAAAGCCAAAGGCAAGAGCAGAAAGCACAGGATTTCGACCTCGAGATGAAGATGATCGCAAATACTGGGAAGAACAGGACAGGATCTCAAAGGAACAGAAAGAAGCAAAGGCAAAAGCAGAAGAGGAGAAGAAGGCAAAAGAGGAGCAGATTGCCAAAGCAAGGTTGATTCTGGAAGCGGCAGCAGACGAGCAGGAGAAGAGAGACAAGGAAGCAGCAAGGCAGGAAGCAGCCGCAGCCGCCGAGAGAAGGCGAGAGGTAGAAGCAGCAGCCAAAGCAAAAGCAGAGAGAGAAGCAAAGGAAAAGGAGGAGACCGAAGCAGCAGTAGCAAAGGAAGCAGAGGAGAAAGCAGCAGCCGCAGCAGCCAAAGAGGAGAAGGAAAGAAAGGAGCAGGAGAAGAAAAGAAAGGAGAAGGAAGCCAGGAAGAAAAGAGAGGAAGATCAAAAGGCATCGTCAGCGTACATTGCCAAGAAGGAAGCAGAAAAGAAGGCAGCAGCAACAACAGCAACAGGATCAGGTGAAGCAGACAGGATCCAGAAGCTTGAAGAAATGATGAAGGAGATGATGAAGGAACGCAAAGAGGATAAGGAAAGGATTGCAAGCCTCACACAGGAGCTTGAGAGCAGAGGATCAGCAGCCGGGTCGCAGGCACCCACAGAACCAGACACAACACCAGCAAAGGAAGAGGAGAAGCCAGAAGGAAAAGGAACAGGAAAAGCAGCAGGAAAGGAGCCACCGAACGTCACACAGCACAAGCAGAAGGAAGAAGACAAGGACGACCCAGAACTGTCCGCCAAAGGACCAGTGAACGAAGCATCGTTCATGAAAGGAAAAGGAAAAGGAGAGTTTGAAGGAAACTGGTTTGCAGTCTACAGTTTCCAGAACAGGAAATACCAGTGGAAGTGGAACGAAGCCAAGACACAGTGGTACTGGTATTCAGGATCAAAGGAAACAGGTTGGAAAGCAGCGTCAAAGGACAAGCAAGGAAAGAAAAGTGCAAAGCGCAAGCAAAGATGAAAGAAGAGTGGCTAAAGGAACAGCTTCAAGACCAGAAGGAAGCTAAAGACAGCGAAGAGGAAGGCGAAGTAACCTTCCAGTGAAGCAAAGGAACCACGAGCAGTACTGAGGCCAGAGAGCCGAGGAAAGAAGCAGCAGGACACAGGAACCGTGGCACAGCCCTTTTTGTTTCTGTGGTGATCTAGGTAAAGTGCAGGAACGTCTTTTGTACAGTCGAGCAACCTTGGAGAGGATTGCGAGTGAACGTGCGCATACGTTTGCGATGAGGAACAGTGTTTGTTTTGCAAGTGAAAAGGAACTGCAGTGTGTTTACTGTTTGTCAAGGAAAAGTCGGAGTCACCTCAGTCGAGGAACTTTCGCTAACTCCGAAGGCGGGGTGTTAAACATTCTGCCAGGAACAGTAACACAGCTAGTGCAGTACAGTTAATGTACAGGAACAGCCGTCACGCACACGCGACGTGCAGGCTCGAGACCCCAGGACACACCGTGCCCAGGAACAAAAGTGTCCGACAGTCTTTGTGGGTAGGAACCCTTAGTGAAGCCCGTTCTTTAACAGTTCAGGGTTGTTCCGAGATGCATATAATTATACTTTGTACTTCTGGGGGCCAGGTAGCTTTCTGAGTATTCTCATACAGCAGGTCTGAATTAGAAGTAGCGTGCAGCGAGGCGAAGATCTCGTGCGGGAGGAACATGTGATGATCAATTTCCCGGGTCCTTGACCCACGAGCATCACTGTAGCAGGCCGTCACCGGAATCCTTGGTTTGCAGTTCGGATGATGTCTATATAACTAATGCTGATTCGGATTAGCGATGCAGCTCGGGCTCCGAAATGTTTCCGGCAGTGCCTGCCTCCAGGGCTGTTTGTCCACCCATCGTTCCAGGAGTCGCATCTGCCCCCAGGAATTTGTCTGTCCATGAAATGCCATCGACAGCTCCAGCAAGTCTGGCCTCGATCGAAGGCGTGGAATCCCTACCAGGAGCACCGGCCAACTATACAAGGTCAACAGTTAATGCAGTCGAGGTGCGGGACCAGTGCATGAGGCAAGTCGTAGACCCTGGCCATCGATTTGGCCAACTCAGCCAAGGGAACCTGCAATTTTCAGGGGTATCCTGTATTTTTTGTTTCAACAATGCATGCAATCACTGGCCTGTCCATTGGCAAGTTGCTCCAGGGCTTGGTCACAGGTTTGTTGTACATTTTCTCGCATGTAATCGCCATCGGTCGAGGATGCAGGATATTCTGCCATCGAAACAACGTCTTAAAGGTTTGGTGTCTAGGTTTCGGGCCTGAACGAGTTACAGGGTCAATGTAGGGTTTTGGGTTTAGGGTTGGGGGTTTAAGGTTTAGGGTTTAGGGTTCGGTTAATTGTAAAGGGTTTGGGGTTTGGGGCTTAGGGTTTATAAGTTTAAGGCTGGTGTTTCGGGTTTGCATGGACCACCAGTACTAAATTGGGCCACTTGGGCAAGCTGAGGCGGGGCGGTTTTGGCGCATCCACTGGCTGCATGCAACTGCGAGGCACTGTGCAGGCAACGGTCTGCTCACGAGTTAGTTTTTGGCAGCTCATCGCGAGCTTCGCAGTGCTGTAGCAGGAACACAAGTGCAGCATAAGGGCAGGGTCGTGTGTTCGAGGAAGTGTATACATGTATATATATATATATATATGTGTGTGTGTGTGTGTGTGTGTGTGCATGTGTATCGAGGATCATAGATGCATGGCTGTCTATAGACTGCTTACACCCCATTGCATGCACACACCGCCTGCCCTAGCCCCCAAAAGTAGCCATGGATCACTTCGCCCGCTTTGCAGGCGGCTCCTCATCGGCCCATTCCTGGTTCTCCTCTTCGGGCTGCTCGTCTTCGGGAGCACCATCTTCATCATGAAAATCATCTTCATCTTCCTCTTCATCCTCGCCGCCGGCTTTCTTTTTTTCCTCCTTCTCTCGCTTCCGCTTCTCAGTCGCGAGGCCTGCATGCTGTTGAATCTTACGAGACTAACTTGAGTGTGCATGCCAACAATTGAAGCCAAAGTACGTCGCTTGTTGGAGTCGACGATGTCTTCGGCATCGGTGATGATCTTCTGCTTGGCCTGCACAATGCTTCTGTAAGGTTCGGGGGTCAAGGTTATGGGGTGTGGGAATTTTAGGAATTATACACTCGGACAATCCAGGGTGAGGGTGCGGGCTCAGGTGAGCCAACCATCATTGTAGCCTCCAGCTGCGGCTTGTACTGCTCCAAAGCATATACACAATCCTCCAGGGGCTTGCAAGCGAACACCAAAGCACATTTTCGGGCTTGGGTTCAGGGTATCGCTTGGGCTTGAAGGCTTCACCCGGAACCCCAAACAAACTCCCAAACCCTAGAAGTCTGAAACCCTTATACAGCCCAACCCCCCAAACCCTTAGACCCTAAACCCCTGTATGGTGTTACAAGTCTCGACTTGTAATTCATGTACAGAAGGCACGGCAAGCTTTCAGTGTGCCTCCTGGTTCAAAATGCCAGCAGATGTGATAGAAGTCGCCACGAGCACCGCCTTGTCCGACATGTTCCGTACCCTGAGTTGCACTGCATTGTTTATTGCAACATGAAAACAAGCGGAGGCAGGCAAGCTATCGTCTGGGCTCGAAACCCTTGGTGATCTTTGTTGAAATCCCTCTTCAGCTTCTCCTCTTCTGTCAGCTCCTGAAGAAACACAGCTAAGGGGATGTAAATGTGTAGGGTTCTATGGGGTATAGGGTTTTCCCTCTCGCATGACAGGCACGGTTAGGGTTTAGGGTTGAGGGATTGGGGTATAATCACCCTGTATATATAAGGGTTCTTCTTCCCTCTCTCGTGCTCTCTCCCTGGCCTTTTTCGGCTTTCCCTGCTTCTTCGGTTTCGCATCTGCGGCGACCTGTGATTTGGCCATTGCAGAAGCTTTCGCTTCGAGCGTGGCAGCCAAGGCCGCTCTCTCCTCCTTGTTTGAGCTGGGCCTGAGCGAGGCCGAAGTTTTCGTCCCGACCCGGCTGATGGTAGCACCTCGGCGGGATGTTGAATTACAGGTTCTTAAGGACTGCATGGGTGTAGGACACAGCAGGAACAACTAATGCAGGCGAGTCTCTAGACAGATCCACACACTTGAAAATTTTGTAAATCCGCCATTCGGGGTCGGAGGTCTGCGGGTGGGTCTTGCCGGTCTGGTTCGCCTGCAAGTCCTGGATAAACTTCTCTGCTCCGGGAAGGTGGGCGTACTTCTGCTTTATCTCACATAGTGGGAGTTCTATGAACCGCTCATTGTTGACCGTTTCTGCCAGCCTTGGATGATCGAGTCGCAGGGGCTCGGGGATTGCACTAAAGTTCACTAAAGAGATCTTACAAAGACATGGTTTGTGAGCCCAGCGGCTCTTCGAAGTAGGGCTGCACCTCGATGGAACTCATCTGCGTATCGAGCAGGTAGGCTTTCAAGAAAGCAAACCTCAGCGATATGTTGGGTCTAGAGCTGCAGTCGACTTGAACCCGTATTTGCTGCCTGGGGACTTGTCCGTTGGCGATACGGCAGCTTGCCACTGCTCAACCAATCCCTTTCGTAGTCCTGGATCACAACATGTTCTCTCTCTCTCTCTCTCTCTCTCTCTCTCTCTCTCTCTCTCTCTCTCCTCTCTCTCCTCTCTCTCTCTCTCTCTCTCTCTCTCTCTCTCTCTCTCTCTCTCTCTCTCTCTCTCTCTCTCTCTCTCTCTCTCTCTCTCTCTCTCTCTCTCTCTCTCTCTCTCTCTCTCTCTCTCTCTCTCTCTCTCTCTCTCTCTCTCTCTCTCTCTCTCTCTCTCTCTCTCTCTCTCTCTCTCTCTCTCTGCTGCCAACCTTGCGGATTCTTCATGCGGCGTCGAAGGCCCTCATTGAGCCGCTTCCTTTCGGTTAGCTCGATGTCTTCCGTCTTACTCAAGGCCTCGACAGATAGGGATCTGCTAGATTCGACTGTAGCTATCATTATATGGATGCAAGCATAGGGCCTGAATCTCGGCTCTCTGCTGGTCCGTGAGGTTTCGAGCCTGAAGTGTTAGGGTTCAGGGTTTATAGGGTTATCGGTTATAGGACAAGACGAGAACTGAAGCCATCCTACATTGCATCCAAAAAACGGCATTCGGGTTCCCGGGGAAGATAAAGCCGGTCAGCTTGGATGCCTGAGGCACCGCTTCTTCATCCATCGGATCTCCGGGATCGCTGGCCCATGTCTCGGTGGTGTCCGTGCGACGAGGCCTGGCAGGCATGTGTTGCCCGGCAGCCAAATTCGCAACGAATATTCAGCCCGGCGACTTCTTAGAGTCCGGATCCTCGCTGTCGTTGGCCACGGTCTTGCCTCATCCCGACAGCATGCATGTGCTTTCGAAAAAATCTATTCTTATATTATACAAGAACCCAAGAGCCCACACCCCAGCGGCCTTTGGAACTGCTCTTTGCAGCACCGGCCGTCTCGAAGGTTCTTTTGCGGCTCGGATCATTGCCGGCACCAGAGGCACCAGAGCCTTGGCCAGCTCGATTTCGGGACAGGATTATTCGGTGAGGTTATATACATATATACATAGTATGCATGCATGCCATGCAAGACATGAGCCCCGGGCCTTTGGAAGAGGTTGCTTGCTCGGTGTTGCCTCGCCCGAAGAGAGCTCGCATACAAACTTGTTGTCCCTGCCTTGGCCCTTCTCTGGTGAGGTTCCTTTGCCCTGCAGCAGGGCGAGTTTCCCCTTCTGCTGTCCTTTGCCTTTCTCTTTGCCCTTTTCGGCGGCCCTGCCCTTCTCCTGCCCTTTTCCCTTCTCTTGGTCGCCCTTCTCCTGCCCTTTTCCCTTCTCCTGGCCCTTCTCTTTTCCTTTTCCTTTCTCCTGGCCCTTCTCCTGGCCCTTTTCGCCAGGGCTGCCCTTCTCCTGTCCTTTTCCCTTCTCCTGGCCCTTCTCCTTTCCTTTTCCCTTCTCCTGGCCCTTCTCGGCTGGTGGGCTGCCCTTCTCCTGCCCTTTTCCCTTCTCTTGGCCCTTCTCTTTTCCTTTTCCCTTCTCTTTCCCCTTCTCCTGGCCCTTCTCGGCAGGGTTTCCCTTCTCCTGTCCTTTTCCCTTCTCTTGGCCCTTCTCTTTTCCTTTTCCTTTCTCCTGCCCCTTCTCCTGGCCCTTCTCGGCAGGGTTTCCCTTCTCCTGTCCTTTTCCCTTCTCTTGGCCCTTCTCTTTTCCTTTTCCTTTCTCCTGCCCCTTCTCCTGGCCCTTCTCTTTTCCCTTTCCCTTCTCTTGGCCCTTCTCGGCTGGGCTGCCCTTCTCCTGTCCCGTTCCCTTCTCTTGGCCCTTCTCTTTTCCTTTTCCTTTCTCCTCCCTTCTCTTTTCCTTTTCCCTTCTCCTGGCCCTTCTCCTGGCCCTTCTCCTGGGCCTTCTCGGCAGGACTGCCCTTCTCCTGTCCTTTTCCCTTCTCCGGGGCCTTCTCTTTTCCTTTTCCCTTCTCTTTTCCCTTCTCCTGGCCCTTCTCGGCGGCAAGGTTTCCCTTCTCCTGTCCTTTTCCTTCTTTTCCTTTGCCCTTCTCTTTTCCTTTCTCCTGGCCCTTGTCGGCAGGGTTTCCTTTCTCCTTTCCCTTTCCCTTCTCTTGGCCTGCCTCCTGTTTCTCCTTGCCCTGGCGGGGTTCTTCCTTTCCTTTTCCCTTTTCCTGGCCCTTCTCAGCAGTTTTGCCCTTTTCCTTTCCTTTTCCCTTTCCTTCTTCTTGGCTTGCTTTCTGGTGGCCCTTTGTGGCAACTTCAAGCCACGTGCCCTTCTCTTCTTCTGTGCCTAGACGCAACACCAAGGCTGCTACATGTGTTCCATGCACATACCGAGGATATTTTCGGGAGAGGGGGGGCAGGGCTTCGGATATTCAAAGGTTCAAAGGTTTGACCGCACGTGTACGAGCATGTGCTTTCTACATAGCGAAATGCATAGTTTTTTTTTTTTGGCTTCGTGTGTGTGTGTCTGTGCATGCAAGATGTGTTGTTGTGCATAGGACCCAGCCTGCTCCCCACTGTTGTCCCCAGGACTGCCACAGCTTTTCCTTTTCGGCTGCAGGCCGACTGCGGTCGACCCTTTGTTCCTGCCCGCCCCAAGACTGGTGGTTCCAGCCCTGGGACCAGCCCTCATCACCCTTCCACCAATCCTTCCAATCCTTCCAATCCTTCCACTCTGCACTTTCCATGGCTGCACGGGGGTATGCTGAGTGGTGAATGTATAGTACAGTATAGCACAGGTCATCAGCATTCATCCAAATCAAGCTACATTCATCAGAATTAAGCTACATTGGCGCTAGTGCGATCATGATCCGGATCCATCTCGAGCTCAGCGAATCTCGACATCAGGCGATCAAGAGATACACGCTAATACACGCTCAATGTCGCTTAATAAGCGACGTTGGCACGGAGATACACGCTGATACACGCCCCGAGTTGTTGCATGGCAAAACTGTTTTTGTTCACAGCTCCACACACGATGCACATCTCGAGTGAAACCAGGCCCCGAAGCGACCACTATGTGTACTTGTGTGCCTTATTCTTCACCCACATATAGTGCTACCGAACCCTCAAGTCTTAAGCTCTCCCTGCGGCCAAGCATAATCCTCGCATCGATCAGGATATGTGGATCGATATCGATCCATGGATGATCGATCAGCATCATCGAGAATCCGATCCTGGATGGAGGGGCCAAGACAGCACTGTTGTAGTAGTGGTAGTAGTAGTAGTAGTAGTAGTGGTGGTGGTAGTAGTAGTAGTAGTAGTAGTGGTAGCAGTAGTTCTAGTAGTAGTAGTAGTAGTAGTAGTAGTAGTAGTAGTAGTAGTAGTAGTAGTAGTAGTAGTAGGAGCAGTAGTAGTAGTAGTAGTAGTAGTAGTAGTAGTAGTAGTAGTAGTAGTAGTAGTAGTAGGTGCAGTAGTAGCCGCCACGGCTCAGACGTTTTGGAAGTTTCGCGCTGGCTTTCGAACAGGCTCTGGATTCCAACCTTGCGTTGCTAGAGGTCTCAAACAGGCCTCTCTCCGAACGACTAAGGGTTGGTTCCTCACGCTGAGCCATGTGCCATGTGCCAACAGTTTGCGTCTGAGCCGCCAGGTCCCAATTCCTGGACCCAGTACCCTGTCTCAACACGGGCCCACTGGGCAGGCGGTAGGGTTTCCACTAGCCGCGTGGTGGAGGGAGTCACTCGGCTTGCCTTGTGACGAAATAGCGGATGGCGCTGCTCCCAGTGCACTCACAAAATTATTCTCAGATCAGGAAGAATTCTTTCAAGCATGTTTGCCGACAGGTGGCTGCAAGCCAGCAGCCTGTTTCTTACCGAGGTCAGGTTCTGACCCCAGCTCTTCTCAGGCGCATGGGCAACTGCCCACCGCAGCCGGGCTCCAAGCAGTCTTTTGCACCACGATCTCGGGCAGGACAGGCCACCAGGCCTCTCCGAGTACTGTCCTGGAATGCAGGCCATCTTGGCCAGCAACAATGGTCGGAAGTCAAATCATGGCTCTCCACTGAGGCACACCACACCTGTGATGTGTTCGTCCTGCAGGAGACCCACTGGCAGGCTACGGCCGAATTTAGTGTTGCAGGCTGGTACTGCATCTCGTCTGCTTCTGCTGCAGATCCGAAGGCCTCTAGACGAAAGCAACGCGGGGGCAAGGCCCATAAACAGTCACCTGCAGAGGCAATGCCTAATGACGATAAGATGACCCCACCCCGCAAGGAGCCCTCAACAACTCGCGCGGACGGGGTTATGGTTTTCCTGTCCCCACACATACTGCCCAAAAGTGTGCGCTGGCAGGAACATGTCATAGGCAGAGCCCTGGAGGTCAGGTTTGACTGGCACGGGGCCCGCATCAACCTGGTTGCTGTGTATCAACACGTCTGGTCACCGGCCAAGCAGGTACAGACCAATCGTCAGGACAGAGCACATGTCCTGAAGGCTCTTAGCAGATGCGTGCAACGCGTGCCGCACAGGGACACGCTTATCCTGGCAGGAGATTTCAATAGTTCCTTGCAAAAGCAGCCTAGGCTGGTTGGTCCAGAGATCATTAGCCCACAGGAACCGAGATCTGATGAGCCAGAGCTTACCAACTTTCTGCTTAATCATCGCTTGGTTGCCCTCAACACGTGGAGGCCTCAGCCGCCACATACGTTTCAGCAAGGGGATACGCGCACTCAAATTGACTTTGTGCTTACGAGGGAGGTCTCTGCTGGAGGAGCTGCCAAAAACTCTACGCCGCTGGCAGCTTTCCCGCTTGGAAGCTGGAAGAAAGGCGGGCACTTACCCATCAGTGCAGCTGTCAAACCAGTTCGGCACTGGAACCTGCCAGCCCCTCAGATACAGCAGCATCATTATGACACCGCTGCTCTGCAAGCGGCTGTCAGGGACAACACGCTGCCAGCTCAGCACATGCTCGAGTGGGTTACAGCACGACTCACTCCGGACATGCAGCCGGCGTCATGGGATCGCCTCCTTGGCGAAGCCGCATCCAGGTTTTTCCCTAAGACCCCAGTGGCAATGCCAGATAGTCCGGAGACGAGCCTTGCCAGACGCATGTGGCGCTCGGCGCGTGGGAGCAATGCTCACCCCAGTGCGGAGCCATCGCCGGAGGATGAAGCCCGGCAGAGGCTGTGTGATCAGCATAAACAGGCGGTTAAGCAGGCTCGCAAGGACCAGACCAAACGGTTTCTTGCTGAGGTTGATCAGGCTCTGAGCCAGGGCGATCAGCACCTGGCATATCAGACTCTTAAGCACCTCCGGCCGTGGAAACCGGCTTTGAAAGCTCAGCTTAAGGACGCGCACGGCTTCCTGCTCAGTCCTGCAAACGAACTGGATGAACTGGGGAAGTATGCAACTAAGGTCTTTGCGGCGCACCCACAGCTCCCGTCTGATTCGGGACTCCTGCCCCTATTGCCACAGACCAAGTTAGCAAAACATATTGCCTCGATCAAGCCTAGCAAGGCAGTTCCGAAAGGAGCGGCACCGGCCGCAGCCTGGAAGCTCTGTGCTCAGCCGATCTCTGCGGCGCTTTCACAATACTGTTCAAGCCTGACGCAGGACCAGTCACTGGACGACGATCTGACTCGCGCAGATCTCTGCTTAATCCCAAAACCGGGCAAGCCGGCTGACAAGCCTTCACAACTCAGGCCGCTGGGCATTCTTCGCCCGGATGCTAAAGGACTGGCGGGCACGGCCAAGGAGCTCC